GGAAAGCACATTTACTATATTAATTGAAATATCACTCTGTGTAGGTATTGTGTCATCTATTTAAGAAAAAGCTAAAGGTTTTTCCTCCATCATTCTGAAAGTGGGTTTATCTGGTACACTGATAAATTCCTACAATTTGGAAGAGTCAGTTCAAACCACCAGGACCCAATATTTGCACTCTTTCAGGGAATGCAGGCAAATGTGTTAATCCATCTGTAAAATCATATTAGTGCTCTCCTATTAATGTCATATATATGAAAATATCATGGAAAATGCTGAACATGGAGATGGTCAGTAACTAGGAATCTCCACTTCAGGGAGCACACATACGTATCTCCCTCCATCCTAACAATGGGACATATTTTGCACACAGACATTAGAACTTCATGAAGTTTCAACTGTTGATTTTTTCCCAAGCATCATAAAGTTATGATTTAGACAATGTATGACTGAAAGGATTCATTCATAATGCAGAGGCACATTAACATAAATCTTGCACAAAATATGCCTCTAACTGAAACCGAAAGGTATAAAAACATATTTCATTCTTGGTAAAGAACTTGGTGAGGAGACACAACTGTGATTGTATACACAGTTGTCCTGATAATACATTGACATTCACAAACAGCAGATGGCACTGCAGTCTATAAACATTTTAAGTTGCATAAACTTGATTTTCAAATATAGTACAATTCTGTCTACTGAAACTCCTTTTTGTTTCAGCTAAGTACTCTCACACATATTAGTTTATAATAATGTTTGTGATTATTATTTTTTGTTTGTGATTATTTTTTAAAGTCCTTTCTATTCAAGAAAAAGAAGTCAATTCCTATGTCAGAGTAACCAAAGTGGTTGAAGAATAGGTATTAGCCAGAGAAGTCTGGACGGTCAAATCAATCTAGCCACAAAGAAGCTCCTTGAACACAGAGGGATGTCAGGTGTCACATGGCTTTCCTGCACTCTAGTTCATTCTTGACAACCTGTATGCCTGTTCCAGGGACATTTAAAGTTTTTAAATTTTTTATTAAAATTTTTATTTTATTTTCTGGATATCTAAACTTTTAAGGATTTCTTTGTTGTTGTTGTTGGAGACGTTTTATAAAAACAGACATTTTATCAGCAACTTGCTATGTGAACTGTAATCAATAGCAATTTTTAAAACTGTGAAATGATACAAAAGGATAATCTCATCCATGGTCTCTTTCTGTATGCAAGGCACTATACCAAATGTCCTAAAACATTAACTGTTCATTAATCAATATTTAGTGCCTATCCATTCTAAGATGCAAATTTCCATTCCTTTATATATATATATATATATATATAACTTTATCTTAAAGGATTTCTTATGATCTTTACTAATACATTAAGAAGAATGCTAAGCAGTGCTCTTTTATGTACTGAGACTTGAAGTCATGTCATTAGAATAGGAAACGTGAACTCTGACTTTACAACGTATTATAAACGCTTTAAGCTAGGAAAGGTTTTCCACATCCACTGTCAAAGATGGGAGCCTTTTATTCCTCAGAAATCATCGTTCTTTAGGTCATCAAAAAAGAGTACAGCTGCCGCAGCTCATGATGCAGTATCTTCATGAGCCCAGGGCACAGGAAAACCCTAAAAGAACTGCCATGCACAGCAATCATTCTTGGCATGAGAACCAATGAAATACTCTATTCTGCACATACCTGCCAGAGCAGGCCACTTTCCTCTTCTGTGAGATTTTAAAAGCTTCCAAAAATGTTATTACTCCCATTTGCAATACACAGGACATGGAAGAAAGGCTGTTTCCAGTTCTCAGCTTTTCAACAACTCTTAACGTCAGTACTCATAATGGCATCTCACAAAGTAATAAACAGTGTGCAGGTGAGGGCAAAGCACACATTGAGCTAATTAAGAGCTCACTGTGATTAGGATTCCATCAAATATCATAGCAGAACATAAGCAAATTGTACTTGAATTCCATAATGAATATACATGCTGCAGTAACAGTAAAAACCAAGGCAGCCTATTCCAAATTAGC